TCTCTTCTGACCTCTAATTTTTGAGAGGGACAGGATGTCCAAGATTTCTGGTTGGAGATGGACAGACCACAGCTCTGTGGGCTCCAATGTTTTTCCCCCCCACTGGTCCATGATCCTATCATCTTTCCTCAGATCTGGCTACCCACAAAAAGTTAAGGGGAGACAGCATACCTAGTAGCCACATAACCTCGGTAGGCAGAACACCACTACCTTGATCTTCCATGGTAGTGTTGAGGATCTCTGACTACACAGGTGCTCTTTCTCGACATCCTGGAGGAGCAGTGTCCAAGGGAAAGCTTAGGCTTTTGGCCCAGCCTCAGGACTCATTCTTTGGGCCAGACCTTCAAGAACAGCCTCCCCTGTGGTCTGGGTGACAAGACCTTCTATTTGCTCTCTTCCAACCACCACTACCTCTTTTGGAGGGACTGATGCTTCCCAGGCAGACATCAGCCTCTTTCCAAATATGTGATGGAATTTCTATCCACTCTGGATCTCAACTGCTGAAAATAAAGCTGGTCCTCCCAGGCAATGACACAGACTCCAAGAAGGAATTCTGGAGTCTGTTTCCATAGAAAGGCCACCCTCCCTCCCACCCCAGTCCACTGTAGCTCCCAGCAGCCACCCTCAGAGAGTCATAGGGAACCAGAGTAAAGCACTGAGGAAAAGGGGACAGTTGCTTTATCCCCTACTACATACTAGTGTTTTGTTTTTGTTTTTTAATTCTGCCACCCCCTTCTTTTCCTTTTGGTCTGAGAAGAAAACCCTGCAGTGACATGGAGAGTCTGTGAGAGCCCCCTGGTGACAGACCTTTTGTTTTCCAGAAGCATAGGCTCCATCCTCCCCCCGCCCCCCACCTCCTTGCTACTGGCAAGCTCCTCCATGCCTACGCCAAGACCTGTAGAGGAACGTGGCATCTCTGGGCAGTGGTGCTGGCCAGGGGAACACTGGCCACCCCCTTTCTGGTGCCAGTCCTAACAGCTGAACTAAGTTACTAAAAGAACTAAAAAGTGCTCCTTCCCCTACCCTGGAAGGCATAGGAAAGTATGTCCCAGGGACCAGGTCAACTCAGATCAAATGAGATACATGTAAACTTCCTGGTAAACATCAAAGCATCATGTCAGTTATTATTACTACTGTTTTTATTAGCCCCAACATAGTGCCTCCGCTGATACCCATTCTAACTGCCATTTATCCCCATCTGAATAGCATCTGTCCATTGAATGCTAGGCTATCTCCTAAGTTTGGGGATTTCCTTCCAACCAGAGAAGAGTCTGGAGGAATCTTTGCTACTTCTATTCTCCCATCTTCTCTGCCTGAACAGCTCATCCATGGTATCTTGGTTTCTGCTTCCTGGGCCCTTCTCAGGGCAGGGATCTCTGATGGCCTCCAGGTGGAGACTAGCACTCATGAATCAATTTGGGAGAGAAATTCTCAGCCTGGTTCTAGTAACAGTGTTGAGTTAGGGTAGAACTCATCCAAATTGTGCCATAGACAGCTGGGTGACATGGTGGATAGAGCACTAGGCCTGGAGTGAAGAAGACCTGAGTTCAAATCTGGACTCACATACTACTAGCTGTGTGACACTCAGTAAGTCATTTAACCTCAGTCTGCCTCAGTTTCCTCAACTATAAAATGGAGATTTATTGCAAAGTGAAATGTACTGTGTATAAATTAACAGCAATATTGTAAGATGATCAGTGGTGAATGACTTAGCTATTCTCAGTAAAACAATAATCCTAGACACCTCTGAAGGACTTATGATGAAAAATGCTACCCATCCCCAGAGAAAGAACTGATGGTGTCTGAATTCAGATTGAAGCATACTTTTTTTTTTAACTTTTTTATTTTTCTTGAGTTTTTTTCTTGTCTATGTTTTCTTTCACAACATCACTATTACGGATATGTTTTACATGACTACACATGTATAACCTATGTGGAATTGCTTGCCTTCTCAACGGGGGTGGGGAGGGAGAGAATTTGGAACTCAAAGTTTTAAAAATGAATGTTAAAAAATTGTTTTTACATGTAACTGGGGAACATAAAGTACTAAATAAAAGCTTAAAAGATAAAATAAAATAAAATAAAGTGGGGGTCATTAATAGCACCAATCTCCAGGGGTTATTGTGAAGATAAAATGGGATAATATTTGGGAAGCAGTTAGCATGGGGCCCGGCCTGTAAGAGGCACTTAATGAATACCTGGTCCCTTCCCTTGTGCCCCCTTCCCCCATAACGAAAGCAGCAATCATGACAGCTGCAACAAGGCCCTGCAGAATCTCATAAATTGACCAGTACACAGCAATGCTGATTTACTGTTTGGATTGTTCTGGGTTTACACATCCATTCCAGGCCCAGCTCCTTTGGCCCTGGGTGAACCCCTGTCTTCAGGGAGAAAGCCCTAGAAGGCACCTTATCACTTTATCCCAAACTATAGGGAATGAAATCTGAACAGGCACTTCAAGCAATCCTGAGAATGACAGGGAAGGCTGAGCTCTCAGACTTGGCCCAGCCCTTCCCTTCCTCTAGGAAGCATGCACAGATTCTACCACCCCATTCTCACTCCTCCTCTCTGTATTTTTTCGTATACCTCCCCCTTCTATTCCCTCTACTTTTTTTTTTTCCAGGAGAACATTCTGTACTTGTGCTGGGAACAGAATTGACCTGGGGAAATGGATCAGCAGCAGTTCCAATGAATGAGGTCGTTATAGGCAGCTGGGGCTTGGATGCCAAACGCTGCCTAATTAACAGGGCATACACACTCCCAGGCATCCTCTCCTTCCTTCTCCACTGCATACTCTTATTTCCAACTGGGAAGGCACATCCATCCCTACAAACTTGGCCTTGTCTTCCTTGCTTGTCCCCATGAAGGTGGGAAAGGAAAACTGAAGTCTTGTTTCCAGTGACCTTGGCAGGTACCTTTACAAGGTCACCTGCCTCTACTATGTGCTCCACTATGGACCTTTTGGACATGACATCTTTGGAATGGCTGGGGAAATGAGATGCTTTGTAATCTAAAACTTCCTGGAACAACCTGCCCAGTCTCTCCCTAAGACTGGTTTCCTAAGAGTGGTGGGAGGGTGACAGGAGAATTTTGTAGAGGAGGAGATATGTTGTAGAATTCCAAACTTGCTATCTTCTGTTTATTCCTGCCAATATACATGTTGTCACATCTGGTTGGACTGTAAGCTCCTTGAGGTCAGGTATGGTTTCACTTTTGTCTTTGTTTCTCAGTACCTAGCTCAATGCCAGGCATTAAATGCCTACAGATTAGTGGTGGGGGATATGAAACAAAGGGGTTGTGGGAGGCCCTTGGCGGGGAGATCACAGATGAAAATGTTTGCAAAATTCAATGGACAAGAACACAGGGTACAAACAGGTGCTGTGCACTGGTGGGGGTGGGAGGGTAGAGGGCAAAAGGGAGCTGACTCCAAAGCAGGCCTGAAAGGAGTCCTTCCTAGGCTAAGAATTCAAAGAGTCTCCAAGGTCACGTGTAAAAAGCACTTTAAAAACAGAGCTCTCTATAAACGTGAGGAATTATTATTATGATCTAGTTAAAACTCCCACCCAGCACAGGAAACCCCTCTAGAGCATCCCTGACAGATGGCCCTTCATCTCTGCTGAACATGCTTACTCATTACCAAGGCTGCCTACTCTATTTTCAGACAGCTCTAATTGTTAGAAAGTTCTTTCTTAGATTAGGTAGAAATATGCTGCTTTATCCCATTGGTCCTGGTTCTGATCTTCAGCAACTCACAGAACAAGTTTGCTCTCGTTTCAACGTGACAACCTCTCAGATAGCTGTCTAAAGCTGCACCTCGCCCCTCTTTAGTCTTTTCTTCTCCAGGTTCACCACCCCCATCTCCTTTGCCTACTCTTATACAACAGAATTTTGAGTCCCCTCACCACAGTATCATAGATCTAGAGCTGAGAGGGACCTCCAATGTCATTTACTTTACAAATGAGGAAACTGAGGCCCACAGAGATAAAGTGACTTGCCCAAGGTCACACAGCTACCAGTTCTTCCTAAATCTAGTGCTCTATCCACTATACCACACTCATTGCTCTCTATGTTCTTCCAGTTGCCAGTTGCTTCATAGGATCTAGGGCTGGAAAGGACCTCAGAGGACATCTGGTATAACTCCTTCATTTTACATGTGAGGAAACTGAAGCCCAGAGAGATTAACTGACTTGCCTGAGGTCATTCAGGTAGCAAGTGTCAGAAGCAGGACTTGAACCCAGATCCTCTGCTTCCAGAACCAGGGCTCTTCTAACTGTACCCCTGGCAATGACTTCTCTAAGATGTGACAGCTCGAGCTGCATATATAACACTTCAGGTACGGACTTGGCCACAGCATTCCGGATGGCTTGGTGTGATACAGACAGCAAGAGCCCCAGCAGAGCTTCCCTCGATCCAGGGGAGAAAAGTCTGGCCTGGGGTCATACAGCCTTTTTTGGAGTACTGCTCTTCTGGTTCCTGTCCTCTGCAGCCAGGGGTCCCAGAGCTCACTCTTAGGGGGAGGGCACCATTCAGGAGCCATCAGCAGCCAAACCCACAGGGGGCTCCTAGGGAGTGAGGGGGGAGGTGGTTTTTTCCTTCCCTCCCCTAGGGACCCTAAATCTTGGGAACACGAAGACCAAAGTCTTGCATGTAACCTAGCTCCCTTGCCCTTCATCACAAGCCACTGCGGTACCTGGCTCTTCCTGCTGAAACGAGGTACAAATCCTCATCTGCCTCATTTCCTTCACTGAAACAAGATACAAACCATCCTGGCGTCTTATTTCTCTGAGTCCAGCTCCTGTTTTGCTTCCTATGTTTTGCTGCAACAAGGTAACATCCTATTTTAACTTAACACTGGGTTTGGCTAGGTTGGTTTCGTGAAACAGGTACAAACAGGTGATTATGCTCACTTGTCCCATCCACATAAAAAGCGTCCATAACATTCCTCTATCCCACATTCTCTGGACAACATGGAGACCAGCAGGGTCCCAGAAAGAACCTACCTTGAGCTTCATAGCCAGGGTAGTGAGGCCTGTCCCCTGCCTTGGTGCTGGCATCCTCACCAAGGGCCAGCTGAAGCTGGGCGATGTTCATACGGGCGGTGAGTTCTCCATTCCTGTCTCCAATCTGCAAGGCAGATACCAAGGTGGAGAAAAAGGTGTGCATATTAGGATGGCAGAAACAGGTACCCAGTATTCCCCTTACAGGAGGGCTTCTTCACATGGGGTCTGTGAGCTCGTTTTTTGTTTTTCATTTGATAACTGTATTTCAATGTAGTTAGTTTCCTTTGTAATCCTATGCATTTTATTTTATGCACTTAATAGTAATTGCTAGCATTTATATAGTGCTTTAAGGCTGGCAAAGTGTTTCAATGACCTGGGGAGGTAAGTGCTGTTAACTGAGGCAGACAGGTTAAATACCTCGCCCAGAGTCACACAGCTAGTAAATATCTGAGGCCACATTTGAATTCAGGTCTTCCTGACTCCAGGTCCAGTGTTCTAACTGTTACATCATGAAGCTGACCAATTTAAAAACATTACACTGAGAAGGAATCCATTGGCTTCAGTGGATAGCAAAAGGGGTTCAAAACACACAAAAAAGTTAAGAACTCTTGATTTACAAAAAGGATTACATTGCAATTTTAGAGGAGGTCCTCGAGTATCTGTTTGTGATACCATCCTTTTCCTAGCCCTCTAGTGCATCAAATGGATTTCAAACTGGCCATGTCTCCATAGTGACCCTTAGATTAAGAGATAAAAAGATATGAGTTCTGATCCTTGCTTTGATGCTGTTTAGACTTTAACAGTCACTTTCCTTCTCTGGCCTCAGTTTCCTCATGTATAAAATGAGGGAGATGGTATATGAGATAATGTCCAAGGTTCCTTCTAATTCTTAACATCCTGTGATATTCCTCACACTGAACAGATTGGCTAATATGACAGAAAATGAAAATGACAAATGTTGGAGATGGTGTGGAAAACTGGGACACTGATGTACTGTTGGTGGAGTTGTGCACTGGTCCAACCATTCTGGAGAACAATTTGGAACTATGCCCAAAGAGCTATAAAACTGCATACCCTTTGACCTAGCAGTACCACTACTAGGTCTGTATCCCAAAGAGATTTTTTTTTTGGTTAGGCAACGGGGTTAAGTGACTTGCCCAGAGTCACACAGCTAGTAAGTGTTATGTGTCTGAGGCCGGATTTGAACTCAGGTACTCCTGAATCCAGGGCTGGTGCTCTTATCCACTGCGCCACCTAGCTGCCCCCCAAAGAGATTTTAAAAAAAGGAAAAGTTCCTATATATATACAAAAATATTTATAGCAGCTCTTTTCATGGTGGCAAAGAACTGGAAATTGAGAGGATGCCTATCAATTGGGGAATGGCTAAACAAGCTGTGGGATATGATTGTGATGGACTACTGTTGTGCTATAAGAAACAATGATCAAGATGCGTTCAGAAAAACCTGGGAAGACTTATATGAACTAATGCAAAGTGAAGTGAGCTGAACCAGAAGAACGCTGTACACAGTAACAACAACATTGTATAATGATCAACTGTGAAAGACTTAGCTACTCTATTCAAGAAAATGATCCAAGACAATTCCAAAGGACCAATGATGAAAAATGCCGTCCACCTCCAGAGAAAGAACTGATGGAGTCTGAACGCAGATTGAAGCATACCTTTTTTAGTTACTTTATTTTTCTTGTGGGTTTTTTTTTGGTCTGTGTTTTCTTTTGCAACATGGCTGATATGGAAATATGTTTCGCATGACTTTACATATATATCAAATTGCTTGTGTTCTCAAGGAGGGACGAGAAGAAGGGAGGGAGAGAATCTGGAACTCAAAATTTTGAAAACCAAATGTTAAAAGGGCAGTTAGGTGGCACAGTGGATTGAGCACCAGTCCTAGAGTGAAGAGGACCTGAGTTCAAATTTGGCCTCAGACACTTACTGTCTGTATGACCCTTGGTAAATCATTTAACCCAACTACCTCCAAAAAATGTTTAAAAAAATTTTTTTTACATGTAATTGAGAAATATATAAGGAAATAAATACAAATATATTTGGGGAAAACATCCTATTATCCTATGCCTAAGGAAGTTTAGTATGGATGAACTTTCTCAGGGTGAAGGCTTGCATTTTAATAAAGGACAGCATTTCCTCTTTGTCTTAAGCCAAAGGAATGAAGCTCTAATATTTGCAATTTCAGGCATCATCTAGCTGTTTTGTGGGAGGTAGCCTTCTTGGTGTCCCTAAAATTTCCATGACTTGTTATTGCTAGATCTGTCGGCTTGGGTCTTTGAGGGTTCCTGGGAGGACTCCTTTCCCTGTCCCTTCTGTACCACCCAGCCCAAGCTCAGGGGCAGTTATCTCTGATGCCTGCTCCCTAGCCTGATGCATGGTACCTGGCACCTGCTAATAGTTATGCTGAACAAAGCAGTCACAATGTAGCGGGCTAAGGGATCAGGGGTAGGCACTGGGAAAATTTTAGAATAGATGGGGTTTAGAAAGGTGACGTGATGTAGAATTGCAAGGCTGTTTCTAGGAGGTGGGGGTGGCACAGAAAAAAAGGCAGAGTCACAAGGGAGGGAAGCAGACAAAAGGAGATGGGAGGATTGAGTGAATATTTGAGGGGGTAGGCTACAAGATCAAGGGAAGAGATCGTTAAACAGCAGGATGTGACAGGATGTGAAAATTATAGAAAGTTAGGATTGAGTCAAAATAAGTTACCATGGTGTACTTTGACTTTTTTTTTGGTATTAATTCGTGTACATTTGTTGCTTTCCCCAATAGAATGTAAGTCTCTTGAGAGCAGGGCATTTTTGTCTTTGTATCCCCAGTAAAAAAAGGATCATGAAATGATGACACCCTCCTTTTCTCGTCTTCTGGCAGGACACACGAATAGCATGCTCTGTTCTAGAAAAAGACAAGGACAGAACAGTGGCATCACAGAGTTCCCCATTCATTTCTAAGACAAACTGGAATTTCAATGTCACACCATCAGGGAACAAAATTCATCATTATGTAAATACTCTATTCTTTGAAGGACTTTGTTAAATGATAGTTTTCTCTATAAGGAGGGCCCTGAAAAGATTCTAAAAATACTAGTTAATGATATTAAGATGAGGCATAAAGTAGAAGACTGATAAATGCTTGTTGAATTTGATGGAATTAAAAGAGACCTGTACTGGGAGTCAGCACTTGTACTTTAAGTGAAGAAATCTGGGTTCTAGTTCTGGCTTTGGTACTAATGCTTTTGCTTGAACATCCCCTCTCTAGACTTCAGTCTTCCTATCCATAAAATAAGGGGGCTGGGCTAGATGATGTCTAAGGTCCTTTCCAGTTCTATCCTTTTATGTTGATGAGTCAGCCCCACTTGGTAGTGAGGACCAAATAAGATAATGGATGTCAGTCAGTAAACAAGCATTTATTAAGTCCCTGCTAGGTGCTAAGAGCTAGAAACATATGGGGGGCTCCTTTGGAAACTTCAAAGCAGAGGTGTCCAACACAAACCACATTAAAATGTAATTGGGAAATACTTTACAAAATAAATAAAAATGAAATAGAACATAATGCTAATATGTGGTTTTCTAAGTCAATGTACAATCCACAAGAATGCAGCACCCTTTCTTATTTGAGTTTGACACTGCCTAGACGGTGCTGGACAAACATTAGGCATGATAATTATCACTATTATTTTAATATCATTAACTAGTATTTTTAGAATCTTTTCAGGGCCCTCATTAAGGAGAAAACTATCATTTAACAAAGTCCTTCAGAGAGTAGAGTATTTACGTAATGATGAATTTTGTTCCCTAATGGTGTAACATTGAAATTCCAGTTTGTCTTAGAAATGAATGGGGAACTCTGTGATGCCACTGTGCCGTCCTTGACTTTTTCTAGAAGAGAGGATGCTATTTATATGTCCTGATAGGAGATGAGAAAAAGAGAGAGGTCATCATTTTGCTCAGTGTTTGGGCTCTTCTTTCTTCCCAGGCCTTACTAGCCTGAGGTAAAATTCCTTAGCTTCCTAACTTCCTTCCTCCTAACCCACCAAGAAGTCATTTATTTAGTTGGGGCACAGAGAAGATAGAAAAAAAGCCCAAAGACACACAGTGGTAAGATACTCTAAGCTTTTGGACACTAGACTGAGAAGAAAGGGGGACAAACAGAGATGCTGTCAGGTTCACCCTTGAAGGCTTCCCAGCCAGTTCAAATTCCTTCTTCACCATTCTTCAGCCCCTGCTGATGGCCAATAGCTCATAAAATCTTTGTTTACATATAATGTTGACTTTTTTGTATTCATTTCATGTGAGTCTTGTCTTCTTAGCTAGATCATAAGTGCCCTTGAGGGGCAGCTAGGTGGCCCAGTGGATAGAGCACCGGCCCTGAAGTCAGGAGGACCTGAGTTCAAATCTGGCCTCAGACTAAACACCTGACCCGCACTAGCTGTATGACCTCGGGCAAGTCACTTAACCCCGATTGCCTCACTAAAAAAAAAAAAGTGCCCTTGAGAGCAGAGGCCACGTCTTTTCCTTTTCTTTCTCCCTTTTCCTGTACCAAGCACAGCGCTAGCCATATAACAGAGGAACTGATAACTATGTCAGCACATCAAGGAGTTGTGATTTTGTGAGGATGGGGTCAATAGATACATGCTGATGAACTGATTGCAACTGCTCTCCTTTCGGTCCTCTTCTTCCCCCCTGGCACTTGTTGGTTTGGGGGGGTGGTATACTTGAAACAACCATTTGGGGGGGGCCTAACCCTGTAATGTCCCCCCATAGCACCTGCAAGCTTCTAAGACCCTTCTCCCCCTTTCAAAGGCCCTTCTAAGGCCTCCCTGCCCCCTTTTCTCCAAGCCTGGGAAGCGGCAGACAGCCTTAGTATTGTTGTCATCCCCTTTTAAGAAAGCCCGGCTGTGCTTCCCCCAGGCTTGGCCTCCAGCTGGAAGCTTGGAGCTAGCAGGCAGCTCTCCAAGCTCAGAGCTGAGGAGTCAGTGTGCTTTCTCAATGATGGAGACAGAAGCCAGCCCAGCTCAGCCCAAGGCATCATTACCCTTGCTGAGCTGGGGGGGGGTACCCCATTCCTGCCAATCAACAGAAGCACAAAGGTCTACACAGTTACTGAGCAGGGCTTCTAGGCACAATGTGATTTCTCTCATGGTTGAGTGCCTTCTTCCTCACATTTCCCCTGCCTCCCTCCCTCTTCCTCTACAAAGAGCCCTGCTCTCTGCAGAACATACCAAGATCCAAGATGCCTGGGGCTCTAAACTGTCTGGGAATGAAAATCACTCTGCTCTGTAGACAAATGTCAAAGGACTGAGCTCCATTCAGTCACCACCAGGCCTAGCCTTCCTCACCAAGGGCACTCCCTCGGCTTCTAGGCCAAGAGTTCTTAACCAGGGGTTAACAAACTTGTTTTTTGTTTTTTAAAATATGTTGATGCCTAAATTCCACTGTAACTGGATTCCTCTGTAATCCTATGTATTTTATTTTGTTAAAAAACACTTTTCTGAGAAGGGCTCCATAGGTTTCACCAGATCCAAAGGGCTTTATGTTACAAAAAAAAAAAGTAATGAACCCCTATTCTAGGCCACATCTTACTCATGCCCTGGCCTCCATCTCTTTAACAGTTTTCTTTCTTTATCCTCCCCAGGATTGTCACTGGGCAGAATAAGGAGAGAAGGGTCAAAGATCAGGGTACCGTGGGGAATACAGAAACATTTGAGACATGGCCTCATGGATCTTGGTCCAGTTGGGGAGATAAGACACATACAAATAAAAACCTAACTAAAGACACAAGGAAATCTATGTTAAGTACCAAATAAGTAATGCAGACTTTAAGCGCTAAGAGAATTTAGAAAAAAGGGAAAACCTATTCAGACTTTGGTAGTTAGGGGAAGCTTCCCAGAGGAGGCAGTAGCTGAGTCAGGCCTTGAAGAGTGGGTAAGATTAGACAGTCACAAAGACACTTCAGGTGAGGGGCAGAACATGAGAGCTAAAAGGGTATATGTGTGGTACAAGAGTCTGGAGCTGGAATCAGGAAGACCTGGGTTCAAATCTTGCCTCAAACATTTGTTAGCTGTGTAATTCTGAAAAAGTAAGGCGATTTCTCCTTGTCTCAGTTTGCTCAGATTTAAAATGGGGCTAACAATAGCATTTCTCTCACAGGGTTGTGAGAATTGAATGAGAAAATGCACATAAAGCACTTTGCAAACCTTAAAGTGCTTTATAATAAATGTAAGCTTAAAAAAAGGGCAGGTAATGTAAATATTATTATCCCTATTTTTCAAATGACAGTATTAGGGATCCCAGAGATCACAGTGTCATAGATTTAGAACCTGAAAGGACTTCGGAGACCATTGAGCCCATCCTCTTCATTTTACAGAGAAGGAAACTGAGGTACAGAAAGTTTAAATGCCTTGCCTAGCATCACACAGCCAGTCAGTATCCAAAGTGGAATTTGAACCCCAGTCTTTCTGACTTCAAATCCAGTGCACTCTCTGCTATATGAGTTTGCTCAGGGTCATACACTTACATATGTCAGTGCTGGAATTTAACCCAGTTTTCCTAACTTCAAGTCCATGGCTCTTTCATCCTCTCTGAGCACTAGACCAAAGGAATTTCAACTTTATCCTTCAGGCACTCATCTAGGTCCTAGATCCTAAAGCTGAAAGGATCCTTTAAGATCATTTAATCCCCATAACCTATTCTCTCTGAAGATAGAGGAATTAAAATGTCCTTAAAGAAAACCACTGATTAGGGGCTTCCACAGTCTGCCCAGGACACCACAGAAACTCACCAGGAGGACTGATTTGCAAACTAAACATCTTTGGGTGGGAGGGACTTATCTCACCTCACGGGAGATCTCAAGATGCTTCTTGGCAAAGGTCACTGCTTGTTCATGACTTCCTAGGGACACATAAGCATTTCCCAGACTCCAGCAGGCTCGGCCCTCACCCACTCTGCCAAACAAGGAACATCAAGAAGACCCATTCATTCCACGAGACAGGAGGGAAGCTAACGGTCCAGGCACTCTTGCATCACCCTCTTTCTCTTTAGCCTTCTTCCCTCAAACCACAGCAAACAACATCTGATCAACAAGCTAAAAGAGACTTCTGAACGGAAGGGTCTATTTTTAAATTCCCCACATAATGGCTCTGACATCACCAAAGCAATGAGGTGAAGGGAGCATTCTTCAGACAGGAGGAAGATAACGCACAGAGTTTGGGTACTTTCTCTAAAGTCAGCCTGGGTTTAAGGTCCCTGCTATTTTCCCCAGCCCAGGAAGAGACCCCCCCCCCACAAGGCAGCATTCTCCAAGGTCAGCCCCAGTCACAATTCTGGTGGGTGTTCTCCTTTAAAAAGGGACTTTTGTTTGTCTGTTTAGGTTCTTTCACATAACTGGTACTCAAATATGAATAGGGCGAATGAATTAATGTATGAGACTGAATGTGGGAGGGGTCAGTATAAAATGTTTGGTCAGCCAGATTGTTTGGGGAAATCATCTTGCAGAGGTGAGTTAAGTGCCCAGTTAAATGGGTCTGACCTAAAGTCTGGCCAAGCCAAATGGATCTGGCCTTATAGAGTCTCCATTTCCTGCTGCTCCAAGTCCTAAGGTGTCCCCCAAATGGGGAACAGCACAGTTCAGGGACTCCTCCCCTTATACCAGGGGTTCCTCTGGCATTGGAACACCAGCTCCCCCAAGTCTCTCTTGTCCCTTCTTTACAAATTTGAGGTCATTGCTCCATCTAGTGGCAGGACTGAACTCACTGTTCTGCTGCCATTGCTATCCTTCCTCCTCTGGCAGAGGACTAGACCTTTAGAGACGGGGGGCACAGGGCTGAGAACTGTTAGGGACAAAATCTTGGGCTTCAGAGAGTGTAGGTATGACCGCCTGGGGAGCACTGCTGGAGGTTTGATAGGACTCATCAGCCCTGTCCTCCAGAAACTAGAATCTGTCTGATGATCAACTTCCTAACCTAGTCATCTCTGTCTCTGTCTGTCTGTCTGTCTGTCTGTCTCTCTCTCTCTCTCTCTCTCTCCCCACACACACACGTACCCCTTCCCTGGCAATCTTCTCTTTTTTATGGTCATTAACTATTGCCCAGGCCTCTTCTCCCACAGTCCACCCCTCCCTGTCCCCACCCCCAGTGTCTGACAGAGCAGTCCCCATGGCTGTCTATGAGGACAGCCCGAGCTGGAGACAAGCAGGTATATCTACCTATCCCCCAGCTCCTGGGCGATGAGCAGGTGTCGCAGGTGGTACTCGACTGCGCGCTCGTAGTCTTGCAGAAGTGTGTAGGTATTGCCGAGGCTGTAGCAGGCCTGGGCCTCCACGGCCTGGTCCTTCAGTTGTCGGGACAGCTGGAGGGTCTTTCTGCATTTAGGACAAAAAGATCTTCCCCCATCAGGCCAGGCTGCCAGGAAAGAGATCTAGGACAGCCAGGAGAACTAAGAGGGACCTCAGAGAGTTTGAATCCCCTCCTTTCATCCCTCTGATACTTCCTACCTGTGTAACCTTGGGCAAGTTATTCAACCTCCTTGGGCCTCAGTTTCCTCCTCTGTAAAATGAAGGGGTTAGCTTTCTATATGGCCTCTAAGGACTCTTCCAGCTCTAGAACTGATATGATACACATCAAAAAACTGAGATCCAGAGCACCTCATGTAACTAGTTGGTGATATGGCAGGATGCATAAGAAATGGATGGAAACCAGTCTGAATGACAAGAAGGCCACATGACTTTGTCCTGTTTTGTAGGTAGGAAGTCAAATGATTCCTCCCTATTCTCTTCTGCTCACTTAATTTTCACCCCAAAGCAAAAATTGTAGATGGATGAGAAGTTGCGTGAGTGCGTAGGGCCATGCTCAGAACAGGGTCACTGTCAAGATAGCCAGTGTATTCAGGAGGGGGAACATGTTCAGAGTTACTGATATGGTAAAGATAGGGGTGTGGTCAAGTTTAGGGGTGTTGTGAGGGCTGTGGATATGGCCTGGGTCAGAGGGGTTTAAGAAAAAAACCACATGAACCACTGGAGTTTCCTTCAAAGGGAAGTATAATGAGTGCTGCCCAGCATCCTTTCTGGTAGGCCCTTAAAGCAGCTTGTGCCCCTGGGGAAGAGGCACCTCTTTATACCTCTGCATCTGGGTGTCCCTGCTAGTATTTCAGGGGATAGTTTTATGTTCTTCAGGTGAACACCTGGGACACTGTCATCTCCTACACTTCCTATAATGGCCACCAGGGGGCAAGCAACTTGTTTGGTTTATCGCAGAGATCTCCCAGCCTGCCTCTGAAAAAGGGCTCCCCAGAAGAAAAGGTTTGGGGGGGAATGGGAGGATAGGGATGAGGGGTAAGCATCAAGAGGAGCCTTCCCAAAGGATCAAGAGCCCTTGAGTTTGCTTCTCTCAGTCCATAAACATTTATTAAGCACCTACTATGTGCCACTGTGCTTAAGAGGTGCAAAGAGAGGTAAAAGGCAGTATTTGATCTGAGCTCACTGTCTAATAGGGGAGACAACATGCAAACAATTTATGCCCAAACAAACTATCTACAGGATAAACTGCAAATAATCAACAGAGAAAAGGTGCTAGAATTAAGTGGGATTGGGAAAGGATTTCCATAGAAGGTAGGATTTTCGCTGGAATTGGAAAGAAACCAAGAGGCAGGGATAAGGAGGGAGAGCATTTCAGAAATGGGGGATAGCCAGTGAAAAGTCCCGGAATAGAGAGATGGAGTGTCTTGTTTGAGGAACAGTAAGGACACCAGGGTCATTGGATCACAGGGTACTTTGGAGGGTCTAAGGTATAAGAAGACTAGAAAGGTGGGGAAGAGGGACAGGTTATGCAGGACTTTGAACACCAAAGAAAGGATTTTATATTTGGTCCTAGAGGTGATGAGGAGTCACTTGAGTTTTTATTTAATTAACTAATTAATGAAATCCATGGACAAAGTATTAAATGTTTCTTATGTGCCAGGCAATGTGCTAAGCATTAGAGATATAAAGACAAAAGTGAAAAATTGCCATCCTGAAGTACTTCTAATGGCAGAGACAACATGTGCATATACAAGAACATATCTAATTGAAACAAAATGAAAGCAAGGTAGTTTTAGGAAGGAGGACACGAGCAGCTAGAAGGGGTGGAGATCAGGAAAGGCTAGCTGTAGGTGGCCTGTGAACAGAGGCTTGGAGGAAACTAGGAATTCTAAGAGTCCAAGGTAAGGAGGTAGACTAGGGTCCGCTAGTGCAAAGCCACAGAGAGGGGAGATATGGGAGACACTGAGGAGGCCAGATCTAAGAGGGAATAAAATATAAGCAGACTGGAAAGGTAGGAAGGATCCAGGTTCTAAAAGGCTTTAAATGACCAAACAGAGGAGCTTACATTTGATCATAGAGATGGCAGGGAGCCACTGGAGTTTATAGAGTAGGGCGGTGATAATGTTCAGGAAAATCACCTTGGTGACTATGTGGAGGTTGGATTGGAATGAGGAGTGGCTAAGGTAGGGAAACCAAAAAGGAGGAAATTGCAATAGTCTAGGTGGGAGGTGATGAGGACTTGAACTAGGGTGGTGGATGGGTGAGTAGAGATGAGGGGACATATGATTGATATTGTGGAAAAACTATAAGATTTGGCAACTGATTGGATATGTGGCGTAAGAGTGAAGAGCTGAGGATGAGACTCAAGTTGTGAATATGGGTGACTGGGAGGATGGTGATGCCCTTAACAGTAACTAGGAAGTATGAGAAAGGGGTGGGTTTTTGGAGAAAGATAATGAACTACGTGGAGTTTAAGTTGCCTGTGGGACGTTCAGGAGACAGCTAGGTGCATAGGGCTCGGAGTCATGAAGATCTGAATTCAAATCCAGCCTTAGACACTCACTGGCTGTATGACCCTGGGCAAGTCACTTAACCTCTGTTTGCCTTAATCCACTGGAGAAGGAAATGGCAAACCACTCCAGTATCATGGACAGAATGGACCACAGGGCCATGAAGTTTGGACACAGATGAATGACTGAACAACAACAACAACAAATGGAATATCTAGTTCAAAATGTCCAATAAGAAATTTGTGACACGAGTCTGGAGCTTAGCAGAGAGACTGGCCTGGAAATACAGATCTGGAAATCATGTGTATAGAGATGATAACTAAACCCAAGGGAGCTAACGTCACCAAGTCAAAGACTATAGAAAGCAAAGAGAAGAAGATCCAGGACAGGGCTTTGGTGTGCACCTACTGTTTATGAGTGACATGGATGATGAATAAGCAAAGGAGACTAAGAAAGAATGGTTAGACAGGGAGGAAGAGAAGCAGGAGAGCATAGTGTCATGAAAACCCAAATAGGAGAATGTCCAGGAAGAGAGGGCGGTCAAAGCGTCCAAGGCTGTGTAGAGGTCAAGGAGGATAAAGATGGAAAAAAGGCCATCCAATCTGGCAAGTCAGGTAACCTCTCCAAGCCTCAGTTTCCTCATCTTTAAAATGAGGGAGTTGGAGCAGATGGTCTCCAAGCTCTATACCTGTGTCTTGCCTAAATAAGGACAGGTACCCTTTCCTGTGGGCATTTTGGCTATGTATGGGAGAGAGGTAGGGGAAAGAAGAGCAATGACCTAGGCCCCCGGATCCTTTTTTTCCCATATTTTCATCTCCCAGAGACATCTCATTCCCTTTGTGGCTTCCTATATTGACAGTAAGCTCCTTGAGGGCAGGGGCTTTACTTCTGTCTTGGTATCTCCATTGCTTAGCACTGTGCCAGGCAAATAGTAAGTGCTTTATAACTACTTGTTGATGAATTGATTGAACCAAACATTACTCTATCAAAGTCTCCTCCTAAGATATCCTGGGCAGCTAGGTGGCTCAGTGGATAGAACTGTGGGTCTGGAGTCAGGAAGATCTGAATTCAAATTCAGCTGTAGACTCTTACTACACATTTACTAGTGACCCTGGGCAAGTCACTTAACACTGTTTGCTTCAGTTTCCTCATCTGTAAAATAAGAAAGAAATGGCAAACCACTGCAGTATCTTTGCCAAGAAAACCTCAAATAGGGCCACAAAGAGTCAGAGACACTGATATGATTGAATGACAACGATATTTTTTTGGACCAAGATATTGTTTCTAAGGCCTTGAAGGAATCTTTGAAAATCCCCTTAAGGCCCAGAGCAAATACTATCCCTCAAATGATCTGGCCTTCAAACTTGAGCCCCCAGGGAATCAAATACCATATTAGGGACAGTCTTAGCTCGAGCCTCCTGACAGCCAGACTGCCCCTAGGAAGACCACTTACTTGTAGTACTCTGCTGAGACATCAAATCGCCCCAGGAAGATGTGGGCATTCCCTAGGTTACTATATGCTCTCCTTTCAGCTGCTTTGTCTCCAAATTCCTTAGCAATGGCAAGTCTCTGAAAAACAAAGATTCATACATAGAGCTTATGGAGGAAAAGTAATGAATGAGTATTCATAGAATGGGCATTGTTCCTCATAAATCCTGCTACTGAAAAACAACAAATGGGGGCGGGGTGGGTGTGGGGGCAGGATAAGGGGAAGCTCCATGCCCCTCTAGGCCTTGAGGAGGAATCAAGATCCTCTCAATTATCTACCATGGGTAGATAATTCTTCCACCTAACAACAGGCAGTTTGTACTCAAGAAAGGTAAACTTTTTTTAAAAATTGGGCTAAATTTGGCTACAAAATAATTAACCACTAAATGAAATCCAAAGTTAACTGAAATTTCTAGCCATGGATTACCCACTGATTTCCTTTTTCTTTAGTTTATTTTTATTCTGAACTCAATAAACAGCAAATAAAATGGGCATTTCCACATACATAATAGAACAGAAAAAGAGGGTTGGATATGAAACCGAAGATCTCTATTATATATAGCTTGCATCTGCTGTTTTCCATCATCTATTCTTTTTGCATTGTCCTTGTCACTATTCCCCTCCAATCAAGATAAGGAATCTGCCATTTAATAATGATGTTAGCCAGTAATGGTACAGCACTTTAAGTTTTGTAAAACACTTTCCAAATATCTCATATTACCCTCAACAATGGCCCTGGGAGGTAGGTGCTATTATTATCCCCATTTACTGATGAGAAAACAGACACAGTAAGGAATTTGCCCAGGGTCACACAGCTAGTAAGTGTCTGAGTCCAAATTTGAATTCTGGGCTTCCTGAATCAAGGTTTAGCACTCTATCCACTAGGCCACCCAACTTTGGAAGCATGGGAAGAGCCTTGGAGCTGGGAGGCTGAGTACAACTCAGCGTATCAGAGAAAGGAAGAGAATTATAGCTAGCGTTTGTATGGCATATGTTATATCATTTGATCCTAATCACTGATGGGGAGGTCTCCTCCATGGTTAACAGTGGGTGTGCCCCAAAGCACACCTCTGTCCTGGCCCCTCTTTGCTCTCTACAGTCTCTCACGTGGTGACTCATCAGCTCCTCTGGATTTAATCATCTCTATGCATGTGATTCACAAATGTATATATATCTAATTCCAGTCTCTCTCTTAAACTCCAGTTCCACAACACAAATTGCTTATTGGATATTTTGAATCTGATGTTCCACAGACATCTCCTGACTCAACATGTTCAAATCATATCCATTATGTGTAAGAGAACTGGATCTTCATATCTTATTTAGCTCTTTGTTTCTCTTTGGAGACTAAGCCCCACATAGGACAATCTGGAGGGACTGCGTCTGTGTGTGTGGGGGGTGGGGTGGAGAATGGGACAGGGTATTGGTACTCATCAAAAGAACACTACTACATTGGGAGTCAAGAGACCTGGAATCTAGTCCTGACTTTATCATGAACTGGCTGTTGTTTTTTCAGTCGCATCTGATTCTTTGTGACCCCATCTGGGATTTTTTGGGCAAAGATACTACAGTGATTTGCCATTTCCTCCTCCAGCTCATTTTATAGATGCGATAACTGAGGCAAACAGGGCTGAGTGACTTGCCTAGGTCACACAGGTAGTAAGTATCTGAGGGCAGATTTGTTTTTATTTTTTTTATTTTTAACATGTGCTTTTAAAACTTTGGGTTCCAAATTTTCTCCCTTCCTCCCTCCCCACCCACCCTCATTGAAAAGGCAAGCATCTTGATACAGGTTATAGATGTGTAATTATGCAAAACATTTCCATAGTAGTCCTGTTGTGAAAAAGTGTTTGCTTTTGATTATCCCCTCCCCCAATCTGCCCTCCCCTCTATCAATCCCCTGCTCTCTTGTCCCCTTCCCCCCTTATTTTCCTGTTACCCCATTCTACTTCTTCCTTTCTCCTTCTCCCAATATAATCCTCTCTCACCCCTTAATTTTATTTTCTAGATATCACCCCTTCATCTTCAACTCACCCTGTGCCCTCTATCTATCTATCTATCTATCTATCTATCTATCTATCTATCTATCTATCTATCTATCTACCTATCATCTATCTATCTATCTATCTATCTATCTATCTATCTATCTATCTATCTATCCATACATATAATTTTTTTTCCATCCCACTACCCTAACACTGATACATGTGAGGGGAGATTTGAACTCAGGAAGATTGAAGAGCCTTCCTAACTCCACTCTATCCACTGCACTACCTAGCTGCTCCTAACTGTCTGTTACCATGAATAAATCCCTTCCTTCAGGCCCTCAGCTTTTTCCTCTGTATAAAGAGGAGGTTGCTTCTTAAGCAATTCCATGCTTCAGGAGAGACACACTTGACCCCAGAAAGAGGGAAACAGGCCCCAAGGATAATCATTTACCTCCTTATGGAAGGTGATGGCTTCACTGAAATTTCCCAGGAGGTACTGGGTGTTGCCAAGGTTCCCATAGGCCCGGCCCTGGGCAGCCCGGTCTCCCAGCTCCTTCACCAGAGACAGGTTCCGCCTGTGGGATCCCAAGAATCCATCTGAGTGATCATTCCTGCTCATAGTGTTGGAAACCAGTGGCCCAGCCTCCCCTCCTCAGATGTGAGGTTCTCTTATTGACCCAGCTCCCAAGTGACCTCCCATAGAAAAATGTGAGCTTGAAAGGAAGGAAGCTTAAGAGGGGAGAAAGATAGCTTGTTTGGCTGGAGCTGAGGAGGTGCAACCCCAGTGGCTACTCACTCATAGAATTCTGAAGCTTTCTGCAGTGTCTCCCTGACATCCAAGGGCAGGTGGCCAGGGTCCTGGGCAGAGCTCCAGGACAGCTGCTTCCCCTTGGCATGGTACACATTACCGATGTTGTACAGGGCCCTTGCTTCCCCGACCTGTAGAGGTAGAAACCGTTTAGGAAAAAAGACCTTCTTGCAAGGAAAGAACTACCTATTTCATACTCTGAGCTCCTCTCAAAAATGCATTTTTCATAGGGCAGACTATATAATTAAGTCTAATAAATTATAAAGAATGAAATACTTGTGGTCTGAGCTGGAATTTTGTACCAGATTAATTCAGCACAGACCAGTATTGATTATACATATGACAGCAAGTTGGGCTTTTATGTTAGCGTTACCTTTATTGCCTGATTTTGCTTAAGTCCTGGGCTGGCCACCTCTATTCACTCCTTTACCTAGCCCAGGAGCAGCTGAGAATAAAGCCTTTGAAACCAAATATCCCCTGATTCCAGAGAAGGGGATATAGGACCCCAAGGAAACTGAAAGGGAAAGTAGGAAATTCTGCCTACATTGCTGCTTCTTTATTTAGGCACGAATTGCTTCCCCCTAGTAGAATATAAACTCCTTGAGGGTAGGGACTGTTTCCTTTTTGTCTTGGTATCCGTAGTGCCTGGCATATTAGGAGCTTAGTAAATCTTGGTGGAATTGAAGTGATGCTGTCAGTCCTTTGAATGGACTGGGTAGTAGAGGGCAGTGAAGTGGACAGAATGAGGAAGCTGGGGACTAATTCACAATGTGCCTTCATTCTTTAAGGCTGAAAGTTTGTGAAATCCAAGTGTCTGACACACCCATATTCAAATGTTGAGCCTGTATGTAGCTAGATTCTTGAGCCAAAAAGGATTTTTAAAAAATTATTTAAATTTTTGGATTATTTGTATCTATGCTCCCTTCTGGTCTCTTCCAATGATATCTAGACAATTGGGCATTGAACAAAATGACACCTCTGGATTTGTGAATGAAATGTCACCCCTCAATTAGTGTGGACATAGACTGGGTTAGGAAAGCAGGAAGTGGTCACCTTGGAAGGTGGGTTGTCTAGGGAGATGGGGGTGGGAAGAGAGAGCTGGATATGGAGAGCTTCTGGAAAAGTTCTGTCTTCCTGAGGAATGTATGTCTTTGGGCTCTTACCTTGTCACCCTGCTCCTGGGAAATATCCAGGTGTCTCTGGCAGCAGACAACAGCTTCCTCAAAACGGCCCAAGATTTTGAGGGTATTGCCCAAGTTGCCACTGGCCTTAGCTTCCCCAATGCGGTCCCCAATAGTTCTGGGGGAATGGAGGTAGGAAAACAGTAGATTAGCTCAGGAGGAAGGATCCAGAGCAGAAGCTGGGGCTCAGATGACCTCCTCCCCTCCTCCACCCGGGCCCTGAGCACAAGTAGCTCATCTCCTCAGCCAGCCTGAAACAGAAACTTTGACTTTAGTCCTAAAAAGAACCACGTTCTTGACCTCCTTGAACTCAGCCTGTGTCTATCAGAACAACTAGAAGCCTGTAATTCTGGTTGTCAGTGTCTGAATGCCTTGAGGACACAGCTCAGACACGGCCTGGTTTGTCTGTGCAACGAATTTAGGCTTTAGCAGATTTTGATACTCCCAGGCTTAGCAAACCAAAGACTGAGCATAAGACAGGGGAATCCCCACCAGGGAGCATAATGCTATTTCTACAAGAAGATTCATGCCTGTTGGCAAGGTAAAGATATAAAATAACATATAAACAGCATTTATCTAAATCAGGAAGCTGTTGCCAACCAGAGCTACCACCTGAAGCCTTTTAAGGCAACTGGCATCTCCAACCTCTACGGAAACAAGTTTCATAAATCTTTGCTAGCTGAGCCAACTCATCCCCAAGCTACCTCTTTAAGGAATCTCTAAGAGGGATGCCTAGTTCTATCAAATCCTCTTTCTCCTTCTCCATACTTTCTATGACTTAAAAGATATTACTCTTGTCCTCTTTCAACATTTCCAACCTCAAACACTTACAAGCTGTATGACCCTGGGCAAGTTACATAACCTGATTGCCTCAGTTTCCTCAACTGTAAAAATAAGGATAATAACACCACCTATCTTCCAGGGTTATTGTGAAGATCAAATGAGAAAGTATTTGTGAAGCACTTTAGCACAGGGCCTGGCACATAGTAGGCACTGTATAAATGCTTATTTCCTTTGCTAGACGCAAAGAGACCTAGGGTTCAATTCAACTCAATGAGTATTTACTAAGTAAATGAATGAATGAATGAATGAAAAAGGCATTTATTAAACACATACTATGTGGGCACTGTGAAAAGTGCTGGGTATACAAAGCTAGAAAATGAACAGCACTTCCCTTCAAGAAGCTTACATTCTGTTGGGGGGGTGGGATATAATATATAGACAGAGAAATAAATTCAAAGTACTACTTTACATATATTTTGGAGGCAGGCTTTGAAAGGATCTGAAAGGAAGAAAGTATAACCCTGTTGTCAATTATTGCTGATCTGCTAACATGACAGAAAAGGAAAATGACAAATGAAGGGAATGTGGAAAAATAGGGATACTGATGTATTGCTGGTGGAGTTATGAACTGGTCCAATCATCCTGGAAAACAATTTGGAACTATGCCCAAAGGGCTGTAAAATTGTGTATACCCTTTGACCTAGCAATACCACTACTAGGTCTGTATCACAAAGAGATTAAAAAAAAAAAGGAAAAGGACCCATATGTAAAAAATATTCATAGCAGCTCTTTTTTATTACAAAGAATTGGAAATTGAAGGGATGCCCATTAATTGGGGAATGGCTGAACAAATTATAATATATGATTGTGATGGAATACTGTTGTGCTACAAGAAATGATGAGGAGGATGGTCTCCAAAAAACCTGGGAAGACCTATATGAATTGATGCAAAGTGAAGTGAACAGAACCAGATCATTATACACAGTAGTAGCGATGTTGTAATAATGACTGTGAAAGATTTAGCTACTCTGATCAAAACAATGATCTAAGACATTTCTGAAGGACTCATGATGAAAAATACTATCTACCTCCAGAGAGAACCAATGAACTCTGAGTGAAAATCGTAGTATAATATTTTCACTTTCTTTACTTTTCTTGCTTTTTTGAAACATATATGCAAAATATCAAAATACATTTTACATGATTTCATATGTATAATTGATATATTATTTGTCTTCTCAAAGGGTGGGGGAGGGGCTGAAGGGAAGGAGAGAATTTGGAACTCGAAATTTAAAAAAAGAATGCTTTTAAAAATTTTATTTATTTTGCTTTAAATAGTATTTTTCCCAATTACACATCAAGAAAATTTTTAACATTATTTTTTACAAGATTTTGAGTTACAAATTTTTATCCCTCTCTCCCTAACGGTAGGCAGTTTGATATAGTTTATACATGTGCCATCATGTAAAACATATGTTCATATTCATCATTCTTTAAGTTGTGGAAGAAGAAACAGACCAAAAGGGAAAAAAAACATTAAAAAAAATAAAGTAAGTGAAAAAATATGCTTCAATCTTCATTCAGAGTCCATCAGTTCTTTATCTGGATATAGATAGCATTTTCTTTTATAAGTCCTTTGTACTTGTCTTGGATCATTGTGTTGCTAAGAAGAACTGAGTCATTGAGTTGATCATCACCCAATGTTGCTGATAATGTGTACAATGTTTTCCTGGTTCTGCCCATTTCACTTTGTATCAGTTTGCACAAGTCTTTCCCGGCTTTCTGAAATCTCCCTATTCATTTTTTGCACAACAGTATTCCATTACATTTATATACCACAGATTGCTCAGTCATTCCCCAATTGGTGGGCATCCCCTCAGTTTCCAATATTTTGCCATCACAAATAGGGCTGCTATAAATATTTTTGCACATGTAGGTCCTTTTCCCTTTTATATGATCTTTTTGGGATACAGACCTAGTAGTAGTATTGCTGGGTCAAAGGGTATACACAGTTTTAGGGTCCTTTGGGCATAGTTCCAAATTGCTCTCCAGAATGGTTGGATCAGTTCACAATTCTACCAACAGTGCATTAGTGTCCCAATTTTTCCATATCCTCTCCAACATTTATCATTTTTCCTTTTTGTCATATTCGCCAATTTGATTGGTGTGAGGTGGTATTTCAGAGTTGTTTTAATTTGTATTAAAAAGGTAGTGCTAAAAATAAATAAGTAATAAATTTTGGGGAAAAATAATGCAGCTCTATTAACATGGAGCATCCCAAAAGAAGCATGGGGTGTCGAGGGTCCAAGTCAGGGAAGGAGAAGGAAGAGGAAGCACACATAACAATAATGTCTATTACTGTCAGAATCTGCCCTGGCATATTATAAAGGGGCAAAATGGGTCAGAGCTGTTAAATGCAAATACCTTTGGGGTGATGAGTCAGGGGTGGGGGGTGGGGGTGGGGGTCTGTGGTTTGATGACCAACCATTGCTGAGTTCCAGTGACTGCAAAAATAAATCATAGAAATTGGACTTGTATGTGTGAGAGAGAGGTAATTAGGGTTAAATGACTATCCAGGGGCATACAACTAGTAGGTATTTGAGGCCAGATTTGAACTCAGATCCTCCTGACTCCAGGGCCAGTGCTCTATCCACTGTGCCACCTAGCTGCCCTAGAATTTGTAGTTTTGAAGTACTGAAAAGTCAAGGTATTTGAAGGGGATGGAGGGAATGAAGGAGAAGAATGAATTCCCAGGCTAGTTGGCATCTTGGGGGCAGAATGAATATCCTTGGTGAGTAGGCCAGATCTTAGAGAGAATTGTGATGGTCAAGAGACCTTAAGAAATTATAGCCAGTGGGTGGGAGGTAATGGTTGCTAGTCAATAGGTATGCTCTGTAGTGGGGAAGGAAGCATACCTACTAGATCAGGCAAAACCCTGATTACTGGTTAAGGAAGAAAAATTTAATCCATCCTCTTTTGATGTTGCACTAAGAGTTAACTCCCTTTACCCACCTCCCATCCACATACACTGGGTCACTCAATCTCACAAGCCTAGCTCCATATGTACACATAATCACATTATCTTACATTTGCACAGTGACACAAATCCCACTCATACAATCACAAACCCATATGGCGTTCCCTGCTTTACCTGGCCAGGGTGAGGTCATGTTTGTGATACTCGAGAGCCTTTGAGTACTCTTTCAGGTAGAAGTAGGCATTCCCCAGCTGGCTGTAGATGGCACTCAGGGTCTTCAGATCCTCAGTCCCCACCTGGACAGCAGCTTCGAAGAAGGCAGCCCCAGCTTTGAAATCTCCAGCTTTACAGAGCCTCTCACCTTCCAGGGCCAGTTCTAGGCAGGAGGCCTCCATCCTGGGGAAACCAAGGAAAAGGAAACTGAGTGAAGCTGTAGCAGGGATTACATAAACAGAGCTTTGGCATAGAGACCTGGCCAACTACTCAGTGACTGGGCATAGAGTTCCCCAGGGACTAAAACATCAGCCCAACAGCAATGGCCCCTATGGGGTTAGGGTAACAATCCTTTTGGCTCAGGATCTTGTTTCTGGTACTCAATAAATTCCACTGGCTGCCTGTTACCTCCAGGGTCAGATAGAAAACTCCAGTGTTTGGCATTTAAAGCCCTTCACAACCTGGATCCTTCTTACCTTTTCAGCCTTTTTATACTTTTACTCCCACCACATATTTTACAATCCATACTAGCCTACTTGCAGTTTCTCAGACAAGTGGCTCCATCTCCCAGATCTGCATCTTTGCAGTAGCCATTTCCCATGCCTGGAAGGATCTCCCCTCTCAGTTCTGCTTTTTGTTTTCCCTGGTTTTCTTCATGACTGATATCAAAGCCCATTTTCTTTGCCAGCCATCTCTCTCTCTCTCTCTCTCTCTCTCTCTCTCTCTCTCTCTCTCTCTCTCTCTCAGCTCTCCATACCACCTTCTCCCCCAGCTCTCTCAGCTGAAGATGCGGCCTCTTTACTGAAGACATTGAGACCATATGACATGAGCTCTGTTGTCTCCCATTTTCTTCATCTCCAGCCCCCCTGACGTCACTTTCCACTCTCTTTTCCTTTCTCCGATCCTTCTCCTTGCCCAAGCCAGCCACTCCACATGTGCGCTTGATCCTCATCCCCTTTAGTCAGTCTTCAGCAGATTCCAGCCCCAATCAGTTCCAATTCTCAAATCTTCTACCACTCCCTTTCAACTGGTTTCTTCCTTACTACACCTTCAAACATGCCTAAGTCTCCACTAGCCTTAAAAATAAAATAAAACAAAACAAAAAGCCGTCACTACATGCGGCTAACATCTTATATCACTCCTCCCCTTCCTTATCAATCTCCTTGAAAAAGCTATCTATACTGTCTGCCTCCACTTTCTCTCCTTCCACTAATTTCTCAGTCTTTTACAATCTGGCTTCCGACCCAATCCCTCTAATTAAAATTGCTCTCTCCAAAGTTACTAATGAGCTCTAATTTGTCAAATCTAATGGTTTTATCTTAGTCCTAATCCTTTTCAATTTATGGGCTACATTTGACATTACTGAACACCCTTCTCTTCTCAGATACTCTCTTCTCTTAGTTTTTGTAACACTACTCTCTACTGGCTCACTGCCTGCCTATCTAAATATGCTTTCTCAATGTCACCTTTGCTGGCTCATCATCTACTCCCCACCTTCTAACTGTGGGTGCTACTCAAGATTCCGTCCTGAGCCTTCTTCCTTTCTTTAGGTGCTCTCTCAGTAATCTCATCAGTTCCCCTGGGTTTAACTACCATCTCTGTGCAGATGACTCCCAGCGCTACATATTCACTCCCAGTATCTCCCCTGAGCTTTGGTTGGGGACCAGATGTTGGCAACTGGTCCTATCACTTCCTGTTGAACAGAGGGAGAAGAAATGGAAGCAGTGTCAGATTTTATATTCTTGGGCTCAAAGATCATTGTGGACAGGGACTGCAGTCATGAAATTAAAAGACCTTTGCTCCTTAGAAGGAAAGGTATGGCAAATCTGTACAGCATATTAAAAAGCAGACATTGTGGCAGCTAGGTGGCACAGTGGATAGAGCACTGGCCCTGGAGTCAAGAGGACTGGAGTTCAAATCCGGCCTCAGACATTTAATACTCACTAACTGTGTGACCCTAAGCAAGTCACTTAACCCCAACTGCCTCACCAAAAAAAAAAAAAAAAAAGAAAGAAAGCAGACATAACTTTGCTGACAAAAGTCCATATGGCCAAAGCTATGATTTTTTTCCAGTATGGCTGTGAGAATGGGACTATAAGGAAAACTGAGCACTATAGAATCAATACTTTCATATTGTGGTGCTGGAGACTTCTGAGAGTCTCTTGGACAGCAGGGAGATCAAATCATTCAATTCTTAAAGAAATTAATTCAGACTCTTCCCTGGAAGGTCAAATACTGAAGCTGAAATTTAAATACTTTGGCCACATAATGAGAAGACTAGATTTGTTGGAAAGGACTTTAATGTTGGGAAATATTGAAGCAAAAGGAAAAGAGGATAGCAGAGGAAGAGATGGATCGTGTCATAGAAGTAATGGATGTAAGCTTGGACAGACTTGTAGACATAGTGGAGGACCGAAGGGCCTGATGCGCTATGGTCCATGGCATTATGAAGAACTGGACAAGACTGAATGACTGAACCACAACAAACATCAACTGCCTATTGGAGATTTCAAACTTGATGAGGCAGAAACATATTAAACTCATTATGTCTAAAACTGAACTAATTATCAAACTTCCTTATTTTTAAAAAAATTTTCACATTAGTCATGTAGTAAGGAAGAATTAGAACAAATAGGAGGAACTACAAGAAAGAGGAAACAAAACAAAACAGAAGGAAAAAAAAGAGCAAATAGTGTGCTTTGATCTGCATTCAAATTCTGCAGTTCTTTCTCTGGATGTGGATAGCATTTTCCATCACGAGGCCTTTGGAGATGTCTTAGATCCTTGCAATGCTGAGAAGGGTTAAGTCTATCAATGTTAATCATCACACAATGTGGCTGTTACTGCGTACAATGTTATTCTGGTTCTGCTCACTTCAATCAGCATCAATCCATACAAATCTTTGAAGCTTTTTCTGAAGTCTGCTGGCCCATCATTTCTTATAGAACAATAGTATTCCATTACATTCTCCTACCACAACTTGTTCAGCCATTCCCTAATTGATGGGCATCCCCTCAATTTCCAATTCTTTGTCACCACAGAAAGAGCTGCTATAAATATTTTTGTACACGTGGGTCCTTTTCCCATTTGTATGATCTCTTTGGGATATAGCCCTGGAAATAATATTGCTGGGTCAAAAGGTATGCACATTTTTATAGCCCTTTGGGCATACAAACTCCCCTATTTCTATCAAAGACACCACAATCTGGGAAAGACCTTAGCTTAAAAAGGCCAACGTCTCCCACTACACCCGGGGCCATCTCCAGTCATCCTCAAATCTTGCCACTGGACCCAGATGGCTCTGGAGGAAAGAATGAGGCTTGTGACTCTGCACAGCCCTCCCTCTCTTAAGTCCAATTCACTTGCATGTCATGGCATCACCCCCCTGATGTCATGGCCCTCTTCAAGAACAAAGGGCAAACAACCACCACAATCTTTCCAGTGTCTCAACTTTGTAGCCTTGGCATTATCTCCAATTCTTTACTCTCCTTCACCCCACATATCTACTTAGTTGGTAAAACTTGCTGTTTCTACCTTCATATCTCATCCCTTCTCTCCACTTAACACAGCAACCACCTTACCTCAGGACTTCTTCACCTCTCCTCTACATTATTTCACCAGCTCCCACTGGTCTCTCTGCCTTAAACCTCTCACCATTCCAATCCATTCTACACATTGCTGCCCAAGTAATTTTCCTTAAGGACAGAGCTTACCATGGGATTGCCCCACTTAAATCCAGTGCTCCCTATTGTCTCTAGAATAAAATGAAAACTTTTCTATTTAGCTTTTAAAGTCCTACATAAACTGGCCTTAATTTACCTTTCCAGTCTCCCTGGACATTATTCCTCCTCCTACACTCGGCAATCCAGGTCAACTGGCCTTCTCTTTCTTCTTCACTCCATCCCTGTGCCTTTGAATTGGCTGTCCCTCATGCCTAGAACTCTGGCTTCAGGATCCTTCTCTTCCATTAAGATGCAACTCAGGCATCTTTTGCATGCAGCTTTTCCTGATCCCCCACAACTGCTAGTGCCCTCCCTCCCAAACCAACTTGTATTTAACTACTTAACTTTATAATTGTTCTTTTATGTGTATTTTTATGTATGTATTATCTCCTCCATTAGAATATAAACTCATTGAAGTAAGAAATCATTTCATTTTTGGTATCTCTAGCACCTAGCACAATGCCTCGCACATAACAGGTGTTTAATAAACGTTGATTGACTGATATCTGTACAATGGATAAGAGTGCTGGGCCTGGAGTCAGGAAGACCTTTCTTCCTGAGCTCGAATTTGACTTCAGACACTAGCTGTGTGACCCTGGGTAAGTCACTTAATATTGTTTGCTTTAGTTTTTTCATCTATAAAATGAGCTGGAAAAGGAAATGGCAAACGTCTCTAGTATCTCTGCTAAGAAAACCTCAAAGAAGTCACAAAGAGTCAGACACGACTGAAATAAATGACTAAACAACAAAATTGTATATACTTTTTATGTACATTGTTATTTGCATCTATCTTCCCCCATCTGAATATGAACTCTTTAATGACATGGCCCATATATGTGCCTTTCTCTGTATCCATATTGTTTAGAATGTGTGGAACACAAGTGCTTAATAATGCTTGTTTACTGATTCAGTGACTGCTACTGATTACCTCTAGCCCCACTGGCGAATCACAATCCTTTAATGGAACTAAGTTTCTCTGCAATATAAGGAGGGTGGGCTAGATGACCTCTGTGGTTCATTCCAGATCCAAATGCATGGTCCATCAATGACCTATGTGACCTTTAAGGCCTCTTCTAGCTCTACATCTATAATGTTAGGTACTAAGGGCCTGTTTTGGGTGGAGGCCTCCTTGATACTGCCTCGCCTCAAGGACTCTCAGTGTCCTTCAGTGATGTGCTGTTGATCTCTCTCTCCAAGGGATTTAACCTGACCTGCTGGGGGCCTATCTGTACTCTCATGTTTTACCTCTGGAGAAAAGCATTCCAAAAAGGTTACTTGTTTATGAGTGATGCAGGTCAACCGTGGACTGATTCTAAAAATAGCTCCCCCAAGGGCCAAGGGGAACACTCTCATGCTAGCTTTGGGAGGCTCAGGGAACAAGTCTGTGATTCCCCATCCCCATTTACCTTGAGACCTAGTGCACACTGATGACCTGCCCCCAACCCCAATCACACACAACAG